TTGTGTTATTACAGGGATATGAGGGACTGTTATTTATCACGAGGTATGTTGAGGCACAGAGAATGAAGATGGGAATGATGATAGGAACCTGTTGATAGATAATATAACATGTTATGGTGTGTTGTAATAATACAGGGATATGAGGAACTGTTATCTATCACAATGTTTGCCAAGGCACAGAGCATAAATGATTTGGAACTGTTACCTTATAGGGTCGAGGCATGTTAGGCTCTCTGTACCTCAACCACAGGAGTGCAGCAAAGGACCCACCATAGAACAGCCAGGCAGCAAAGCTGAAGAATCCCACTAGATTCATGAAATTAGATCCTGGAGGAATCACCATTATAATGGCAATGGTGCTCTAGAAGAACAAGAGAAAATCGTTACTCTCACTGAATTACCATAATAATGGCAATAGCTTTCTATGGTTGCCATGGGTGGCATGGGTGGAGTTCGCGGCTAACGCGTCGTCTTTCACCGCTGTGAGTCCAATGGGTCGGGTCGCTGGTTCGAGCCCTGCAGTCGTCACATGTGAATTGAGTTTGTTTGATGTGTTGTTCTCTCCTATGCTACGAGGGTTTTCTCCGGGTTCTCCGGTTTCCTCCCTCCGTAAAAATCAATATGCAACCTGAGCATTGTGTGCATAGAATATTGAATGTAGTGGTAGTGCGTGTGAGTGAAAAGTGTCACCAATTAGTGAGAAAGAGCTAGAACGACTAGACACTTAAATAAAAGTGATAATTGTTGGATCAATTTGCAGACAAAATTTGTAAGGAAATTGAAACCAAGACAACAAAACATTGTTGTAATATATTAGCATGTGCCCTTAGCTTGGCTTGTCCACATTTCATTCCCCATGATGCACAATTGTGATGTCATCTGTGGAAAACGCTATTCAAGATGGCCACCCTATCCAGTGTCTGTGTGAACACAGTTCATTCCTACAGTATAGTCCTCTTTATCCTACTTAGTTGTTAGTTTGTTGATTTATTTGTTTGTTCATTGACTCATCTACTGGTTGCTAAGAAACAGCTCATTTAATTAATTGAGCAGTATTCCCCTAAAGATGATCAATTCATGACTGTTTCCTTACAGTTAGTAGCATGGATGGTAGAGGGGTCAATCGCTTGACTTGAATCATAGCAAGCAGGGAAGGTAATAATCCATCTCTTGCTGCAACATACGTCAACCTGGTGGATAAAAAATTATTTATAAATGATTTAAAAAATTATTATTAAAAATCATTAATTGTTAAATGTCATCTTTCCTATGTGAGAGGAGGTTTACATAATGTTTTCACATTCATAATGTTCTTCTTGGGAAGCACTGGTGGCGTGTGCTGCTAATGTGCTGCCTCTCACCAATGCGGCCCCAGTTTGAGTCCTGCCGATCTCGATGTTGTATGTGAGTAGAGTTGTTTGTTGGTTCTTTCCTGTGCTTCAAGGGTTTTTCTCCGGGTTCTCCTGTTTTCCTCCCTCCTCAAAAATCAACTACTAAATTCTAATTTGATCTTTGGGCTTTCACCTAGTTTGGAGCCTAGCTCTGATGTGATTGTCCCACGTTGTGATACAACAGCTAAATCTATTAGATCTCCTGTAGAGCATTTCAAGAGTGGTGTACACATAGTGGTTAAGTATAGTTGCCACTCATTCAGTGGGTTTAATTAGGTTAGGTTAGGTTAGGTTTAATTTTTGGATTCGGCATCACTTGTTAGTAAAGTTTGTTGGGTCTTCCCCCTCATCT